GACGGGCTTGGGACGACATGAGGGAGAGTCATTAATGACATCATTTTCATTTTTGGGTGAACGAACCCTTTAAGTGTAGAAGTTTCGACCTAATCCCGGACTGTGTGATTGTGAGCGCATGCACCAGCCATAAATAATCATGTTCATGCCACAGCACAATGAGAACTGAAGACTTGCTTGTGGGCATCATTCAGTCCCTTTGAACTCAAGCAATTTAATATTAATTCTCAGGTTTTGAGCACAATAGCTCTGGCCGGCTTCTGTGATTGTCCCGCGATTCAAACGTGTGGATCATGGAAACATTCACGAGCACCTGTAGGTCAACACCTGTTCTTCTTCTGGCCTTGTAGGTGCAGGGTTTGGTGTCCGAGTGGGCCTGGAGTCGAGATGATGTGATCCTGCACACACTGCCCCTCCACCATGTGCACGGCATCGTGAATAAGCTGATGTGCCCGCTCTGGGTGGGAGCGACCTGTGTCATGCTGCCAGAGTTCAGCGCTCAGAAGGTACGGCTCTCCCACTAAACACATCATTAACATAATAACAGTCAGTGACCCTAAAACTGTGTACTTGCCATACTTGAAAGTGTCTGAAAATCATAGAGTGCTACGACTCTTATTCATTACATTATTAAGCAGACAAGTGAACGTAAACAGTTGAGAAAGAAATGGGATGTGTATCATTATTGGAGATCTGTTGGTGTGGTATTAGTCCCGCCCCTCCTCCACTGTGATTGGCCGGCTGGGAAAAGCAGCCAATTAACTAAAGGTTGAATATTTTTCCGGAAAACGCTCGGTGTGAGATAGACGCTCAGTGCCTCGTTATAAAATACGCGGCTCTCCCATTGAAAAAAATAAAAATACGCTGGCCTAAGGTTACCTAATATAAAGTGTGCCCAAAACTTATTTCTGTGAAATGTTTTGCTGGAAAAGTGCACTTGTTTTGATTTCTCATTCAGTGGTTTTTAGACACTAAATTAACAGTTTTAGGGTCACTGTATGTAATAATGAAGTTAAAAAATAAAGCAAAATTATCTACCAATTGGTTAATAAAAAAAATCTTAATTCAAACGGAAACTAGATTGTTTTCTAACCCCATTGGCAGATCATTTTTTCTTGTTTTAAGCAAAAACTCACTGCATTTTGATTTTTCCACCCAGAAAACGAGATCAAATATCTAATGGCATTTTACTACTTTAGTCAATCCATCATGATTTAAGAATATTTTTTTATATTTGGACTGGAAACAAGACAAAAATACTTTTTTTGCAGTGAAAAGACAGAAACGTCTTTATTCAGCTTCTCACAATGCAAAGTCAATGGAGACGGAGCACATTTAGGCCACACCCACACCGGAGGGGGGACGACACACACACAATCCAACCGTCTCCATTGACTTGGAGACTCCGCCCACACGCTTTTCTGATTGGCTGGTGCTGTGCACTTGCAGATAGACTCCGCCCACACACTGTTCTGATTGGCTGGTGCTGTGCACTAGCAGCGAGACTCCGCCCACACGCTGTTCTGATTGGCTGGTGCTGTGCACTTGCAGCGAGACTCCGCCCACACGCTGTTCTGATTGGCTGGTGCTGTGCGCTTGCAGCGAGACTCCGCCCACACGCTGTTCTGATTGGCTGGTGCTGTGCACTTGCAGTGAGACTCCGCCCTCACGCTGTTCTGATTGGCTGGTGCTGTGCGCTTGCAGCTAGACTCCGCCCACACGTTGTTCTGATTGGCTGTGGGTTTTGATTGATTGAGGCATCTCGCAGTCGCGTCTAGTGTGGACAGACACATTATTTGTCGCTGGAATCTTATCGCATCGCGTCTGGTTAGGACACGATGTAAGTGAACATCAAGGAACATATTCATATTATAATAAAAAAATCATGTCATGCATGACCCCTTTATGTTGTAAATAACCCAAATTATTCAACAAAGCCATTTTATGCGTTCCGTTGTGCACTAGCAGAGTAACTTTAGACCAAGTCCTGCTGCAAGCGTCAGTGAGTCGAGGTGTTTTGTCCTGCTCCCCTGGGGAGGGACTCGTGAGTCCTGAACGATGAAGTTGTGTGTGTCGTGTGTGTGTGTGTGTGTGTGTGTGTGTGTCGTGTGTGTGTGTGTGTGTGTGTGTGTGTGTGTGTGTGTGTGTGTGTGTAGAGGAGGCCGGTGATCACCCTTATCGGGGACTTGTCACAGGGATGCACTAATTGTAGCTGTGTTGTTGCGTGCCAGAGCTAAAGGCGTCAATACCAGGACTCGATCTGACAGGCTGTGTGTGTGTGCGTGTGTGTGTGTGTGTGCGCCTACTTAGCTATATTTTGGGGACAAATGTGTACCCAGAAGGGACCGAAACCTGACAAAATCTCCAAAAAAACTCCTTAGGGACTTCCTCATTTGTAAATCTGGTATAAAATTAAAGTAATTAAAGTTTTTTTGTGTGTGTGTGTGTGAGGGGTAGGTTTAGGGGTCGGGTTAGTGTGTGTGTGTATGTGTGATGGGTAGGTTTAGGGGTCGGGTTAGTGTGTGTGTGTGTGTGTGTGTGTGTGTGTGTGATGAGTAGGTTTAGGGGTTGGGTTAGTGTGTGTGTGTGTGTGTGTGTGTGTGTGTGTGTGTGTGTGTGTGTGTGTGTGTGTGTGTGTGTGTGTGTGTGTGTGTGTGTGTGTGTGTGTGTGTGTGTGTGTGTGTGTGTGTGTGTGTGAGTGTGATGGGTAGGTTTAGGGGTCGGGTTAGTGTGTGTGTGTGTGTGTGTGTGTGTGTGTGTGTGTGTGTGTGTGATGGGTAGGTTTAGGGGTCGGGTTAGTGTGTGTGTGTGTGTGTGTGTGTGTGTGTGAGATGGGTAGGTTTAGGGGTCGGTTAGTGTAAGGGAATAAAATATACAGAGTTTGTACAGTATAAAAACCATTACGCCTATGGAATGTCCCCATTTAGATAGCTAAGTAAACGTGTGTGTGTGTGTGTGTGTGTGTGTGTGTGTGTGTGTGTGTGTGTGTGTGTGTGTGTGTGTGTGTGTGTGTGTGTGTGTGTGTGTGTGTGTGTGTGTGTGTGTGTGTGTGTGTGTGTGTGTGTGTGTGTGTGTGTGTGTGTGTGTGTGCGTGTGTGTGTGAGACACCCCGGACTGTCACCGTGAGCGCTGAGTTTCTGTGATGGATTGCCCAGTGTAGCTTTGTATCTGGACACGCCAACTCTCGGTAAGGGCTTTAGAAGCAGATCAATGGATGCCGTGACATTGAGGAATGATCCGTGTTTTGTAAAGGGAGGGGGGTTTACGGCAGCGAACGAGCGAGCGAAAGGGTTTTAAGGTCCTGGAGGATTTAATGGGAGTCAAGGATCTGATTGACAAGAAAGGTCTGGAGAGGACACAACAGGGAAAAAGACATTCAGGACAACAAGAAAGTTACATTCTTCTGTTTTCCACAGATATGACCTTGTCTTAAAAAAACAAACACCTTCTTTGAGAGATCAAATGCTTTCTTCACCACAAGGGTTTTATTATTTACAACATGCGGTTCAGTAATTTTTAATGAAGCAGAAAAATCAATATTTGAGCCACCATTACTTTGGCTTTGAGTTGTTTGAGTGATGAGCGCTCATCTCAGATCTGGTGGGAGCGAAACATGCGTGTTGATGAATTTATTGTGGTATGAATGCATTAGACAGCCTGCAGTCAGAGGCTCTACTGTTATTAATGATGGGATGTAAAAGGTTATCCATCATGTGATGGTGTGGGATGGGTGTTTTCTGCATGTATGTTGCTCATTATTGGATTTCAGAGTGTGTTTGTGTGTGATTAGGCATGAAGAGTTATACAGATAAATGCTTTTATAGAGAAACAGTGTTAACCGAGACACAATTAAATCAAAATTTTAGTTTTGTAGCTTTCAGTCTGTTAGACATCATTTTAAAAGTAGTTTTCAATTTTAGAAAATATTGACTCATCTATGTCAATTGACCCTTTGCAGGGAGCTTGATTGACAGGTGATCTGACCAATCATACTTCGCCATCCGCCATTTTGTCCGACAAAGCAGTCAGGAGAGTTAGTAGATTAACATGGGAGGATTTGAACTTGAAAAACGTAATGTACTGATGCCTTTCTGCGGTTAAAACTATTTTTTTTTTTTATAACCCCTTAAACCATGACTTCTGGGAAGTTTTGCGGATAGAAAGGGACATTTTTGAGACCGGTTACAAGTATGACATACCATCAACAGATTCAAGGCATGATTATTGCAGCACGTACCTTGAACTGGTCACAAACAGAAACCTTCATTTTATACATTTTAATACATTTTTTAAATCAAAAGTTGTATCTGTTGACATTATTTAATGCACAATGAATGAAGTGAACAAACAAGTGTTTGTATTAGATAACATTCACAAACATTAATTCATGTTGTAAAAATATATTGTTCACTCAATGTGTTGATGTTAGATAACGCATTAAGTAATGTTAATGGTGTCTTATTGTAGTGTGACCAAACTATACAGGAGATAAAACGTTTTATTTGACTTGACTGTACTTTTATTTAATCCAAAACTGTGCTCATATTTAATTTTAAAAGGGCTTTTTAAACCTGCTAAAAGTTATCCAGCCAAGAATAAGCCTAGAACTACTTTTCTGATGGACTAATAATGACGTAAATAGGGATACACCAATACTGATGATAGCAGTGCTCGGGTGTCGGTCCGATACTGTGCTCATGGAGGCTACTCGTAAAACTACCGCGCGGCAAGCGGAGACGCCATCTTTGATGGCATAAGCTGCTGTGTTTACAAAGTTTTACAAGCAAATTTAGAATATTTTTTTCTGTTACGAAAATCATGAAGAGACAAAGTGACAGAGATTATAAAGAGACTCTATTAACACAAGACAGAGAGAGGTACAATGTGAAAATTTCAGTCATAAATGGTGTGGATCCGTATGCGCTAACGAAGGAAGCACTGAGCAATGATTATGCAGCTTTTGCCTCAGATACAGTACTATCATGTGTACCATTATCTGGTATTGGCTAGGAGTTTTTACACACATGCGAGCCTGGAAATCACTGGAGGCGTACAATCAGTTTGCCGAGGGTTGGGTTGGTGACGTTTGCTCAAGTACAATCAATGGCGAAGGTAACGTTATGTAGCGTGATGCTAGACTATCTGTCTATTTAAAAGCCATAGCCTGCACAACTTAATTCCTGTTCCCTTTAAAACAGTCATCGGGGCTTTCTGTAATATGCATGTACTTATTTGTACAGTGTAGAATAGGGGTGGAACGGCACATGTATTCGTATTGAACCGAAATGGTACGGGCGTCACAGTCCGGTGCATGAATATACACGGTATAAAAATAAATAAAACTTGCGTGCAAATTAATGAATGTAATGCGGAACTACTTTATACGCGGGTTCTTTAGGGACATAATCTGAGATTGCAATGCTGGAGTGAGTGAGAGAGAGGCGCGGGCGCGATCGAACAGTGGAAACAATGTTGTTTTTGTATGTTTTTAATATCTCGTCATTTT